CTGGAGGGGGGTGGGGGAGGGGGGAAAGCCATGCATCTAAAGTGGCGATAAAGGAAAGCGATGATGCCATGGTAAGTTGATTGATGACGCAGTGATGCCAGTTACTACAAAAAGCGCTGATCGATGATGATTTGCATGATGATATGACATAAAATTGGTTAAATATTAAAGACCCCTCCCCACCCACCTTCCACCCACCCACCCTCCCCACCTATAAGACCCTCGACTCCACCCCCATCCCCTCACAACCGCTGACAAGGGGAAGGTAGATAAGCAAAGAGTACCATGGGGGGGAAGAGAGGCGGCATCAACTTATCGTCAGTTATTGAGCAGGGCGGTGGACTGCCTACGGACCCTCCATTTAAGTCATTATGTGTGTGTGTGGGTGATGTAAGATTAGTTTACGGTGTTAAGGTTAGTTAAATGTGAACTTTACTTTGGTGAGAGACTATTATGGCGTGAGGACGAAGGAAATGAACGATCAAGACAGGCTATCACGATTAGTTTCTGGGCTTGTGAGCGATTATAGGATCATCTTGTGTTTATGACTTTAAAATGGCGTATCCTCTGTTTCCTTGTGGACTTTTAAAAATGGAGTATTCTGTTTACGTTGACCTGCGGGCTTTTAAAACTGGTAGCTTTCAACTATCGTGTCGCTGTCCAGAATAGAGGAAGGAGCAAGAAAGGGGAAATAACCGGAGGAAAAAAGGAAAAGGCATGAATTTCCCGGGAAAGACTAGAGGGTGACAGGAGGAAGAGGAAGAATAAAGTAAATTACCGCTGTGAAAATAGTAAAGGGAGGCGAGAAAATGTACTTATGCTTCGACTCACTCTATTGTACGGAACCTGTAACGATTGTGTGTATGTTTGTGTGTGTGTGTGTGTATTGTGTGTAACAAAAAAAGGGCATAATTGATTTGCATAGTAAGTTGGAAGAGATGGAAATAAACCCTGGTCACTAGAGAACATTTTAATATTTCCGTTGGTTCAATATGACTCAATAATACTCATTATCATAGTAATATAATTGTGGATTTAAAGGTGAGCGGAGCCTTATCACGTCACACGAACCTGAAGGACAACGTATAATGCTCTGGCTTGGTCTGCTGTATTCGTTAATGTCAAGTGCAGTTGAATTTCATGTTGTATTTCAGTTATATTTAGTACTTAATCAGAAATAGTTCATAAACTTTTAAAACAAGTTGAATTATATAATAAACTTTACTCATATTACGTCCTGTCAACTACAATATCTTTACAGCGTGATATATGGTGAAAAGTTTATTTGTACTCATCTCCAAGCTTTAATTTACACTAGCTTACGCTCACTAGAAGTATCACAGAAAACGGTAGGAGAGTAACTTCATTTAATCTACCAGTTGGTTATAAATTAAGTCTCAGTTGTTGTTTTAGGTATGTATTTCTGTGCTTGTACAACTAAGGTATTGTAAGCATGTACAACTACTACATTAACCATTACAATATCTACGTCTCCTCTCACCAGTTGCTATTCAGTGAACATAAATTTAAAATCTACGAAATGAGTTTATACTTTTGTAGTTTTTTCTTCCCTTGTAATTCATATTCTTTCATAGTTATTGTACAGTACATTGTTTTCGTAATTTTTTTCCTGCTCGTGTGATGATGAATAACTCACATGTAGGAATTTAAGTTAATAATAATGTTTGGTTTAGTTTTTGGAATTTTCTGTTCAGTTTCACTCTGGTGTTTATTGAATTCTTCATATATATTTCATTGATTTTGGATATTCACGCGATGCGCATCTGTTATTAAATTCTGTAGATATTATTTAAAATGTTGTAATATCTTGTTGCTATGACGAGCGTAGGAAGGAGATCTCTTGTTTTATTTATTTATTTATTTATTTATTTATTTATTTGTTGGTAATAAACTTTATTTTGATGTTTACAGATATGAAGAGAGTGGTGTAAAACTGTCGGCCGTCAACACACCGTGAAGTACTCAGTAAGTGTTTATACTGTAATGTTCTGTGTTAGTGTGTTTACCACCTTGGGATACGAACCTAAACGACTTTATACAGTTGTTAAAGCATAGTAACATCAACAGAGAATATGCTCTTAAAAGACATTAGTTATTTAAAAGAGCAGTATAGTACATAACACACAATGGATATTTTATTTAATATTTCGAGTTATTTATGTTTATGTTAAATAAATAAAGATATCTAGCAATTAATGTAACTAGAAATAAAACATTTATCTTCAATTACAGCCATGATGAAGACTTAAACACGAGGAAAAATCAACATCCAGAAAATATGAAATTATTGTTGTTTATGTGTTCTTGAAATAGCATCAAGTGACGTAGTATTAAAAAACGCGGGAAATTAATGTCATGGCTTAATGACTTTCCGTAGCTCATTAAACGTAAAGACAACAGTTCATTTCAGTGTATATTAGCAAGGGTGGATTGTGTTGTATACCTGCATTGTTTATATGCATGTTGAAGTGTGTATACCTGCATTGTCTATATACAGGCTAAATTAACAAAACTTGTATGACTATTTTACTGAATATTTCTATCTATTTATCTGGCTGTCTGTTTGTCGGTCGGTCTGGCTATCAATAAGAGGATGGTAAGGGGAGGAGGAGAGAGGGTAAAGAAGGAAGGGAGGAAGGAAGGAAGGCGAGAGGGAGTAAAGGACAAAGGAAGGAAGGAAGGAAGGAAAGAGAAGGAGAGAGGGTAAAGAAGAAGGGAGGAAGGAAGGAAGGCGAGAGGGAGTAAAGGACAAAGGAAGGAAGGAAAGAGAAGGAGAGAGAGGAAATAAGAAGAGAAAGGAAGGAAGGAGAGAGAAGAAAATGAAGGGAGAGAAAGCGAAAGAGAGAGAGAGGGAGAGGGAGTGCTGGGGTGAAGGTAGTGAGTGCTCGATGACACTCTAACACACACTCAACCTAAAGCACAGGTAATTTCAGAGCACACACACACACACACACACACACACACACACACACACACACACACACACACACACACACACACACACACACACACACACAGGGAGAACCAAACTCCATCTTACAGTGATGGAACGTCGACTCCTTCGTCAGCAGAGAATAGGATGACTTAAATATTGTTTCATCAGCCGAACAGAAGACGATTATGTTCCGCTGGATAATAGATGGGGAAGCAGCGCCTCAGGATGTGGTGGTGGTGACGATGATGGTGATGGTGGAATGTTTGAGATTGATGGTGGTGATGGAGGGTAAGATGGTGGTTGTGATGAAGTATGGGGATGGTGGTGGTGGGGGTGGTGGTTGATTTTGTTGCTTGCAGCGGCTACTATTGTGCACACTACACTCATCCTGTGAGCGGTAGCGCAAAAGGATTACAGAGTAGGGTTTACAAAGGGTCATAATAATTAACCCCGGTTGTCAGGATATTATGGCACCGAAAGTTACACAGTATTTCATTTACATTATTTGTTTAGTTCTATACATAGAGGGTAACTTATTCACAAATGCGTGAGAACAGGCGTGTGAGGCAGTATGTCTGGCCTCACTATTTCACATTTACGTGGGATATTCAAGCACATTGCGTATTTGGTTCTGTACACGAGAACTGATATAGTTACTGAGTGCAAAAAGTGGATACAATCTTATGTCGGCTATCTTGCCATTAGAGATGAAGTGTTGTGCCATTTCACACACAGTGTGCTTGGACCTGTCCTAAAGGTTCTATCTTCACACAGTCGAGGACATAGTGTTCAAGTGTGTGGCCATATGTATGGCACACACTTTATTAGTTTTGTTTACATCTGCTTGAGAACATACTGCCAGAGGTACTTATATCTAACCTTAATCTAGCGGTTACAACATCTTGTAATCTAGTGATCTTGTTACTTGCTCCATATACATGTTTCACCGATACATCATCATGGTAAACTATGGATCGACTAGTCCCTGTTTGCACTTGTCTACGCGTCAAACTCATCAATAAGTTCTTTCCTAATTACAGTTTTAAGGTTCTTTTGACAGACCCAAATTGTATTCAACGGTGTCTTTGTTAGACCTGCGAGTTTGAGGGCATCAACTCTGTCATGTTTTATGAGGCCTATGTGAGAGGGATCCACAACAGTTTGACCTTGACACCCCGGTCAACAAGGCACATATTTGTGTCTGGCTTCAGAGACAAGATCGTGACAACCTGAGTCGAGGGTACCAAGGGCAAATAGTGGAGGATAGAGAGTCAGTGATGATGAGACTGTCAGTAACAGTGGTTTCAACGAGATTTAATAGCTGTGAGTATGGCAACTAATTCAGTTTGTAGAGTGGATTTGTTAATTCTAACTCCTTTCTCAGTTATATTACCGTCAGGTTGAGTCACAACAACAGCACTTCCAGCCCTCCCAGGCGGTGTTTAGAGATCCATCAGTGCAGATGGTCTGTGTGATATTATCATCAGTCTGTAGAGTGTGTATGTGTTCAGGCTCTCAATTTGGCAGTGTGTTGGAGATAAATGCTTTGTATAATTAATTTTTAGGCGGATACGTCGGTATTGTGATATCGAAGGAACGTCCGCCAGGGTGGCAGGAAGCGCTGTTGTGTCTCAACTTTGTACAGGTGGTCTAGTCAAATATCTTCATATGTGTAGCTGTGGTTTGGATCCATTTAGACTCAGTAGTCCCATGGTTCATACATTCTAGCAATTTTAAGGAAACAATGTTATCAGGATCACCACACAGAAGCCTCAGGGCTATCATGAGGTTGACTATTATTCTATCTTTTAACACTGGGTATACCTAGTTCTTTCCTCATAATGCGTACTTTAGTGCTCATGGGGACATCCTAGGATAATTCTGAGGGCTTTATTTGCATTTTCTCGAGCTTGTCAACTCCTTTTCCCCGTCACGAATGACCAGGGCTGGTGCGTGGTAATCTATCAGAGATCTTATATAGCCTAGGTACATTGTTTTAACAATTCTAATATTAGCACCATAGTGCGGGCTGTACCCACTACACTTCTGAGGTCTCAGTCTGTCAGTACATTGGAAGGGTTAGCTGTGTATGGCAGGTAGGGTACAAGGGCAAACACCAAGATATTTAAAGAAGAAACATAGTCAATAGTGTGTTACCTATCTTGAACTTGGGGCCGCGTTTGCAGTTCCCAGCTGTGGTGGTGGTGGTAGTGGTGGTGGTGGTGGTGGTGGTGGTGGTGGTGGTGGAGTGTGGGGATGTTGATGGTGGGAGAGGCCTGGTGTTGGAGTTGGCAGGGACTTGGTGGTGGCAATAGTGGGAGGGATCGTGGATGTGGTTGTGGTGGTGGTAATGGTGGTGAAGGTAGTGGTGGTGATTGTGGAGGTAGTGGTGGTGATGGTGGAGGTAGTGGTAATGGTGGTGGAGGTAGTGGTGTTGGCTGTGAAGGTGGTGATGGTGGTGGTAGTGGTAATAGTGGTGATGGTGGTGGTAGTGGGGATCAGCCTACCTCTCATATCTCGGGTATGAGGTTAAACTTCCCGTCAAGATCAGGTTCATGCAAGACAACACAACCTGATCAAGACTTTAGCCACGAGGAGAACACGAGAATCACCTGAAGATTAGCCCCCCCCCCGGGTCATGTGATGGGGTCAGCTATCCTTAGATTTCAACATATTTCTCCTAACAATGAACATACATGAATATCACCATCTAAATTCTTATAAATATACCCGCACGTATTCATTAGCATACATACATAATCTTATGTATACAATTACACATGCGTATGAAGTTACATAATATGCTAGACAGAGTACTGTAATGTGTTTTAGTTCGTACACAATTGCTTAAAAGAATGTACTACTTTCGTTCTGTACCTCGATACTGTAGTCTATTTTCAGATGTGATTTTTGTAGTAAGAAATTGTAAAAAAAGAAAAATATGCTCAGTTTATCAAAGGCTTCTGAAATTTGTTTGAAAATACATAAAAGACGTCTCTTTGTATTTCATAACAGTGACTTTTGACTGAATAAACAATATCATTTTTCCCAACTATGCGAGTGAGATTATTTTATCGTCTGTTTACATCCGGTTCAGGGTGTCGTATCCAAGTGAATATCGCGAGATCTGAGTTACTCATAAAACATTTCATATTTCACTGGATTTGAGTCCCTCTCTGGCTCTCGCTGTCGCCCACTCCCTCCTACACACACACACACCTTCCATCCATCAACTATGGAGTGAGTGTGGTGAAGTAATGTATAAGATAATGATAATCCAAACACCTCCTGAATATTAACCTCCCCAGTTAATTTCACTTTCAGTTTAGCCATCCTAGTGCTAACCTAAGCTAACTTAACTTAATCTAATCTAACCTAACCTAACCTAAGCTAATCTAATCTAACCGCCCAGGTCGTGTTAGGGTGTTTAATCATCAGGTGAAATAAGCTTGGGGTGTCTATGTGATTCGCAGCCAACAACACTAATATTACTGTTTCCTGGACTCGGCAAGATTGAGATATTGAAGAGGATGGGGGTGGCGGTCAGGATGGCGGTGGCGGTCAGGATGGGGTGGCGGTCAGATGGCGGTGGCGGTCAGATGGCGGTGGCGGTCAGGATGGGGTGGCGGTCAGGATGGGGTGGCGGTCAGGATGGGGGTGGCGGTCAGGATGGCGGTGGCGGTCAGGATGGCGGTGGCGGTCAGGATGGCGGTGGCGGCGGGGATGGCAGGATAAGGCGCTTTAAGACACAGAAAAGTTTTATGCTAAGAGTGTCAGTGTGTGTGTGTGTGTGTGTGTGTGTGTGTGTGTGTGTGTGTGTGTGTGTGTGTGTGTGTGTGTGTGTTCTCAATATGTATGTTTGCGTCTATATATGTATGTTCATCTATCTTTCATCTATGTATATGTCTGGGTCACGTCATCGGAGTTCGTGTGACCTAATTCATGGCGTCTTGCATGTTGACGTATTTATTATGCGTCTTCCTGCCGGGTGAGCGATAGTATACACGCCACCTCCCCTCCTCCTCTCCTTACCCTCTTAAACTTAACATAGGGCGTGGGAAGGTGAAACACACACACACACACACACACACACACACACACACA